ACCGGGGTATGCCGCGAAATACCTCACCCATTTTGAATGGCTGCATCTGTATCTTTATTGTGATAATGATCACCTGACTTCATGTCCTCAATCATAGTTTAAAAAGTTGCATATTTGTCTAGGAATACAGTTTTAGACAGTCAAGTATTATATAAAAAACAGGAAAAGTCTGTTCATCAAAAAAAAGTGGAAGGCAAAAAAAATGCTGAACAGTTTTTCAATACGTTGTCAAAATTAATAGGATGTTAATGACTGTCTTACACAGTTAATAATTGTGAAATGTTTCTCTATTGCATGTTCCTCTTGAATACACTTTGAGCTCTTGCATTCAAAGGCACATCACAACACTTTAGCTATTCAAGTCCAAACTCACATCAGTCACTGAAATGTCAACCAACAAAGCAAAGAGCAGGAAAACAAAATCTCAAGACAGACGTGTACAAGTCAGAGAATGACACAAACTTTGGATAAATGGTGTTTAAAACTTTCCCCTTTCAGGAGCTCTGTTCTGTACAAACCCTGCTGTAACCCTGCTTTGTAGTAAAATTCACAGAGAACTGACAGCCTGTAAGACAAAAGTTTTTGTTTATTGTTTTATTATCATCATCTCATATCATGGAATGCATGCTTAAAGCTTCAGAGCCTGGATGGCCTTCAGGCACCTGCATTAAGATCTCTATCACAAACCATAGCCTACCCACTGATATTTTTAATCAAAATAAGTTATGAGGATAGAAGAAAGCTACAAGAGGGTCTGGAAGGTGAATGAGTTGCCGCAAGCAATTAAAGACCTAAACAGTTAATCATTTTTAAACATATACTAATGGGCATTCATATTTTCTGCTTCTTTATTAGAAGTTAAAAATAAATTAGGTGTAATGGGACATGTTTTGCAGAATTACTGAAACTGACACAAAAGTGACCCTTTTGATGTCAACCACAAAATTCAAATGATAAAATCTATTATTTTACATAAAGAAATGTCATGCTTAATGAAATGATCTAAATATCTAAATAAAAAGATAGTTCAAGGAACTACGCAGTGCCAGATCCACCAGGCCTGTTTGACGGCCATGTCTGGCCCATGTACAGTACATGAATATGAAAAAATATCTACATAAAATGTGTTATACTGTAATTGAAAGACAAAGATAGAGTCATTTCATTTTTTTTTTAATTCTGATTTTTACAGAGGGCTTTTTAATGTCAGATACAAAACATAAACCTTAAGGCAAGAGACAGTGAGTGATTGAGAAACACCATCTTTACAACAGCTGAGTGACACAAGCAAGAAGAAGTAGAAATTATTGTCATGGGATCCTACTGGGTGCCAGAAAAGGAAACCATCAAGAACCATGTCATTGACTTAAGAGATAAAATGCTGAGGGACAATGAAAACCAAGCATATCAAAAGTGACAGGCTAGGAACCTCTTCAGGAGAGCAAACAAAAAAGACACCCTTATAAGTTAACATTGCAAGTATTTGCACTAACTTGTATACAGTATGTATTACAAATATTTATAAGGAGCTCAGTAAGAGACATTTCAAAGTAGTAAACATACCAAAACAATATCATTGCACAATCAAGACAACTTTGCTATTATGAAACCAGTTAAGAAGTCATGTGATTGGATGTATCAAAAAACATATTTCATTAGGCCATTTTGATCAGAGTTATTTTTAAAAAAAGACTTTGAAACCTGCCATGAATCTACACCAGGTGTCTATATTACTAAACCATTTCCTTTAAAGCTAAATCATCTTCAGTACTGAATCTTAATGATTCTCTTTATGATATTATGTTTGATAATAAGTTCAATTCTGATCTCAGCATCTTTGTGCTCTTCTAACATTAATATTCTGATAAATTATATTTTTAAATCTAAATTGAATACTAACATCTAAATAATTATTTCCATTATTTAGAACATACATTTTTTTTTCAAGAATGATTGGCCAGCAGCCATATCACCCTGCAACTTACAACTGTTGACCCACTGAAGCTAAGCAGTGGTCAGTGCCTGGATGTTAGACCTCCTGGGAAAAACTAAGGTTGCTGCTGGTATTAGAGGGGCCAGTAGGGGGTACTAACCCTGCGGTCTGCGTGGGTCCTAATGCCCCAATATACTAATGGAGACATTATAGTGTAAAATAGGTGCCGTCCTTCAGATGAGATCTAAAAACAAGGTCTCTCACTCTCACTGTTGTCATTTAAAATCTCAGGGTGTTTCTTGAAAAGAGTAGGGGTCTTACCCCGGCATCCTGACCAAATTTCCCTTTGACCAATCATGGCCTCCTAATAATCCCCATCTATGAATTGGCTTCATAACTCTGTTCTCCTCTTCACTGGTAGCTGATGTGTGGTGAGTGTACTGGTCAATGCGGCTGCTGTTGCATCATCCACATATTTGCATCATCCATAATGCAGCAGACATTCAAAATTTAATTTTAGGAATAAATCATTGTGTTTTTGCAGGGGATGGGGTCTCAGAGAAAAAAAAATTAAACAATATTAGTAGAAAGTTTTGTCATGTTAAAATGAGCAACTTTATTACAGGTATACAACCAAATCAGTTAAGAGTCTTACAGAGCAGAAAGGCAGAAAAGAACAGTACAACATATTCAGGATATCCTACTGAAATACTAAAAGAGAAGCATGGACAAAACTATATCTCTCTGGGTGTTTTTTTTCTGTTTGGAAGTACACAATAACCTAATGATTAATATGTTCTGTAATATTTCACAGAATTTGTAATGTCCAAAGTATGGACAGTAACCAAATTTTATAAATTCCAGTATCTGAAAGATCACATGTTCTACAACACCACTCAAGCACTATACAGTATACAATATACAGAACATACAACATTCTGAAGCAATTTGTTTTTATTTCTGTTGTTTCGAATAATGTACATTCTACCTTCTCAGTAGTACAATTGTTCTCCATTTGAGAGGTATGATTTAACATTGATTCACTGAAGCTTCATAACCTAACATGATGTATACAACCTTACTGTACTGTATATTAAAAATTTATACTAATGAAAACAATGTAACATGTAAATACTGTTACAAGAATACAATCTCCCCACTCTCTATTAACAGTTCCATCCTTATTTCTGCAGAATATGTCTTTGATAAATTAAAATTGTGAAATATTTTTTCTAGCCTTACATAAAAAATCCATATATTCGTGTTTTTTATTATTTAAACCCTAATGAAGATAGAGTGTTTGCCTATGTTGGAGGAACATGTTTCTATATGTCAAAATCCTATTGTTTTTTAGCTAATTAATTGACAAAAATTACAAGCATGGTTTTTGTATTTTTTCATTTGTCATCACAATTAGTGTTATATAAAGCTACTTTACCCAATTACCTTGTATTGTTCTGTTGACAACACAGTCTCCAATCATTGACTTTTGTGTTTTTGGGCTGAAACCCTCTCTTGAATTTGAAAATGGGTCAAGTGTTTTTTTTTTTTAACTGAGCATAACAGCAAAATTGTTGACATGCCTGAAGCTAGCAACTGGGAACTTGAGCCCAAATTGAAGCTAAAGTGAAGCAATAAGAGAAGTAGTAGCAGTCAATCCCAAGCTACTTTATCACTTCATTTGAGTCAAGCCTTTCACAGCCCTTGGCCTTAGGTAAGGCTGTATTTATATTCTCTGTGCCAATAACATTTAAAGATGGGCAAGCTATGAAGAAAATGGGCATGCATTCATTTTTTTCTTGGCTTTAGTCTACATTTTCTAGGTTTGCTTTGGTTTGTTTTTATCTATTGTTGTTAAGTACCAGATTGATAGTCGACAAAAGCTGCTTAGTGCACATCCAAAAATGTAAATTAAGTACATCAAAACAGAAATTAGTTGCGCTGGATGTCATTACAAATTTTGTGCTTTATATCTTGACATTTCAGGCTCATGCTCTCTCCAAGATATCTGTCAGGGATTTTCTCTAATACAGAAAGTGTGGTGCAGTAAGTTGGGCTCTTTATCATGGTGCAGCAGGGAAATTATTGATCTCTTCAAAATATAACACACAGGATGAGGAAAAGGCAATATGTGAATGAAATCCCTGAGGTTATTAGGCCATAGGGGGTACCATCAAGACTTCCTCTAGCATGAAAGGATGAAAGCAGTTACTAATCTGCTTGCTATCAGTTGTCATACTAAACCTTTAACCATGTGCTACCCCAGGGCACCATTTTTGAGGAACTTACAGTAAGTCATTTTTATGATTAACCATTACTAAATGATATTTAAGCCCTGAAGAAGAGATGCAGAATTTAATAAAAAAAGACGTAATAATCTTTTCTATTATACGAAAGATGTTTTTAAAATAACCACTACATAGTAAGGACTGCATAGTAATTCAGTCTTTATTATGTCTTCTGGCTATGCTATTTTGTCGATTAAAGGATGCGTTTAATGTTCAGTTAAATTACCAAAAAAATCTCTATTTGCTACTTGGTTTCATTTAGTTTTCTTGGGAATTACGTTTAATTTATTAAGACTGAGAGAAATAATGTACAATGTTCCTATCATTAGTTAAAGAGGTATGTGCAGGCTCTTTCTTATGGTATAGGAATATAGTATATTGGCTCAGATATTGATTATGAAATACTCTGGCTGATCAAATTAACTAGATTTCAATGAGCTGGTTATGTAATAAATTAAAAATGTGCTTACTTTGGTCATAGCAAAAAAAAAAGAGAAAATCTATTATATTAACTGAGATAAACGAAAACTATATAAATGAACAATAATTGGAAAAATACAAATTCAAAATACAAAACAAAATAAAGCCATAACAAACATAAGTCCATTTCAAATCTAGGTGGTTTTATAACTTCCAAGACAACATAAATTTGTACAGTATCTTATTTGTGCCACAAATTGCAACTATGTTTGACCTGAAGCTTTTTTATTACTATTTATTTTTTTTCAGTCCTATTACAGGATTAATAATAATTTGTTCTCTTATATTACGCTTAATGAGAATATCCAATCTTCATCACAATTTAGTGATACAAACAAGCACTATCCAAGGAGAATTGGAACAGCATTAATTTGTCCTTTAAAACTTCAAAAAACATTTGCTCCTATATTTCCACTGTGAACTGAAACAGACTTCAGCTAACTTGCTCCAACCATAGCCTTTTGGTATGCAGTATGTTGAGGACACATGACTCCTCTTTACACAACTTATGTCTTGCATCTCAGCTACAAACTGTGCACAATACTCCAGAAATAGCCTAGTATAGATAACATTATCAAGTCTTTAGATCCCATCCTACATACAGAGCAAAGGCTTTTAGAGTATATGCTAAAAGAGCTGCAGTTAATGTTACATTATTAAGATAATTTAATCAATCAAAGAATCCACAAAAACTTAAATGATTTTAAAATATACTGTACAGTATGATGTGATAAATCCTTCAATGTTTTTACTGTTAAATTGAAGAGGACACATCTGGACTATGACAAGCTTTCTGGTCTACCAGTTTGAGGTACAATGAAAAGCTGAAAGAAAAAGTTTATATCTCCTCATATATTTAAAGACAGGGCTTACTTTTCTGTCTCTCAATAGCAGAGCAGGGGAAACATTTGACTTACTACTACAGTGAAAAATATCCAAACATTGTTGAATACGTTTTATACACTGTAGGCTGTGATTCGGTCACTCTTATCATTCTTGGGACTGTGGAGATCAGCTTGCTCTGGAAAGGACAGAATGTTAGAATAACAAAACTAAAATAGAAGACAGTACTGTATGCATGCTTTTTTTTATAAACATAAAGAGTGTCAGCAAGATAAAACAGGACAAAAAACAGAGCTGTGTTTAAAACGTGCTGAGATGCAGGGATGTGAGGTGAAAAAGGACACAATAGATTAAATATCTAGCTCAGGAATAATCTTGATGATGTTGTTGAGGGGAAGAGGATATTTTTGGTAAGAAAGGCTAACTTAGAATCCCCTTCAAATTAGATGATCCGACACCCTGGGGGGGACAATATCTGACAATTCATAGCAAATGAGCAACAGAAATTCCAGAGTGACTAAGAAATGGTAAGAGCACTTAGGAGAGTGTTGACAATAGAGAATGTGTGGGAGGGGAGGTTAGATGAGCAAGGTTAGAATGACAGTCCAGTGGCATGCCCATTCATACTGTAGGCTGACATTTTAATGAGTAGTCTGACTCTCAAGGTAGTGCACTGAACTATGAATCAGTCACTGTATTCAATGTTCTTTGTTATTTATTAAAATTAAAATGAACATAATAGATTTCAGAATAGTAACCAATCACTATATTTAAAATAAAATGATATTTTATTTTAATAAAATACCAGATAACAAAGCAAGGATTTAACTTTAACTTAATTAAAATGTTTTAATCATTATATATAACAAAATAGAGGATTGTTGAACTCGAAACTCCAATGTGTAGTACTTCTCAAAAGATTGGAGGAACATTTTTCCCTGTGTTAGATGCCTTATTTTTTAAGGGTGAGAATACCAATCTCAAAGTGCATTGTAAAAACAATAATTTTAACTTTGATTACATCTATTATTATTATTATTGTTACAGCTTTAGGTGACTGAGAAGTGTCTCTTAGAATTCAGATAGTTTGCTGAGGTCTGGGTTCCTTGAGCAGAAACAATTGTAAAGTTTACCTTGGCATACCTAGGTAAATTGTGGTTTCATGATTGTCAAAGAGGAGTAGAGAAACACACAATATAAGTTCACATTAAGAGCACAGAAAAAGAAAAGAAACAAGCAGATGCAGGGAGGAGAGTTGGAGTTGGGACTTGAAGCTTGCACCAAGCAAGAGGCCCACTTCTTGATCATCCAAAAGAAACTTGACTGGAGCTAAGAATTTGAACCTACTAAAGAGAGAGCATGCTATTCTGTATTTTTAGGGACCCTGGGTTTCCAGGGTAAAAAATTATCCTCAGTTTTCCTTCTTTGGTTGCCTTTTTATGGATAGGGATATAGGCTCCCATTTATTTTGTGGCATCCAGGGTGCAGAGAGAGAGGTTCAACTGCAGGTTGCCTGTGTGGCCTCTATAGGCATTAAACATTTAATGCTTAGTAGCTGTCTGGGGTTTTCTGGGTGACCAGAATGTTAGGCCTCTGAAAGGCCTTGTCTGTAAATAGTTCAGGTGGGTACAGTAGCTGTGTCAGCATGCGTAGGCTGCAAAGGAACAAGGAGCAAACTAGCAACTGAAGAAGGTTAAGTGTTGTTGTTTTCTTTCATCTGTTTTCAACATGGAATAACCTATTGCTTGTTTGTAAATACTGTACATAAAGTAACTTGTGTGTTGTATTTTCTGTTGTATGTAGTGTGGTTTCTGTCTTGTAATAGTAATAAATATTTGTTTAACCAAGTGTGCCTGGGTTTTTGCACCTCTTACCAAAGTTGTGCCAGAGAACAAAGAATTCACATGCCTCTAAATATACCAGCTGCTCAGATATATTCTGGAGAAATCACTTACAAGTTGAAGGTTAAAAGTATATTTTATAATTTTTCTTATTGACTAAACCACTCGGTCAATTCCCGATTTTCACCATTTTTGTAACCCTCCATTTGTAACATTATTTTGATTTGTTTTCTGATAAAGCTATTTCTAAAGCATGTGAAAAGTATAGGCAGGCATGGTAGTTCAGAGGTTAGCACTGCTGTCTTGCAGTGCTGGAGCTCTGGGTTCAATTCTGGACCAGGGGTGATATCTGCTTGGAGTTTGTACAGTATGTTCTCCCTGTGGTTGCATGGTTTCCTCTGGGTGTTCCTGTTTATACCCTCAGTCCAAAGACATACTGGTAGGTTAATTGGCTTCTGGGTGAGAAGAATGGCCCTGCAGTGAATGTGTTGGTGTCTGGGTGTGCCCTGCGATGGACTAACAAAGTTAACTACTAGTTATATTTTGAAAACCTTGCAAAGACAAAGACCAGGTGGGATACATGAAAATTAAATTAACTGAATTATATTGCCAGGAAAAGGAATCACTCAAATAACATTTTTTTTAATGTTGAGTCACGTGTGACATTCATTCATGACAGTTCACAAATCCTTAAGCTACCAACAATTACAGTATGTACAAACCAGAACAGTCTCCTATCGTCTATAGCCCTTGTGATAACCCCTTGAAATGTCATAAAGGGATCTTTAGAAATAGGTGACGATTAAACAAACACCCGTGCCTTTCATTTAAAAATTGCACCACAACTAAACACCAAAACAAAAGCTTTCTCTCTTTATTGAGCTCCTGCCAAAACTTTACAGACAACAAGCATCTAATCTGCTTACCTTGAACAAATAATTCTGATGTCTCCCCTGAGACTCTTCTCATAAAATTGTTCAAAAGTCAGTTTCTCTCCACATTTCTCATCAATACTAATGTCTTACTCAAACTCTTCAAAAACAAGCCTTTTGAAAGTTTCTTAAACTCACAATTTTATCTTCTCAAAACTCATGGGTTCCTTCATCTTCTGCCAGTCCTTTTTCCTCCTGTGAAACATACACAGAGGACCCTCGGCCCTCTGCCTTTCAGATGGCAGACATCCACTGGCTGATAAAGGAAGCCTCTGCTTTTTAAACTGTTATCTGACCAATTGCCTTCAAACAACTGGTCAAGTGATTAAGAGCAGCAGTTAATTCCCCCAGAGGTCTCTGGGGATATGGTCCCATCAGGGCTGCTCTCATACCATTCTTATGTTCATTCAACTAAATTCTAATATTACTATAGTTTTATTATTTTATTTATTTACCTTTACATATATATATGTTTATTAATACATAAAGTCACCTACTCACTACACTTGTAACACCAACTGGGTTAGTTTGTGTTGGTGTTTAAATAATTGCCTCAAGTGAATGATCTATTAAGCAGAAAAGAAAATTAGGACATTTCCCAATCAGAAACCATGGTTCAACAATGAGATTTGCAATAAAATAAAAGATAGATCCACCGTGTTCAAATCAGGGGAGAAAGAGCTGTACAGGGAATCACGGTATGCATTAGAGAAAGCCATAAAACGCGCTAAATGGAGCTACAGAGTGCGGCTTGAAACGCAGTGGGCTGACACGTGGCAGGGATTACAGTCAATCACAGGCTACAAGGGCTGTAACTAGGAGATTGACACGAACAACACATCCCTGCCAGATGAGCTGAACCATTTCTATGCCCGCTTTGATGCTCTGAACACGGACACTGCTGAGAAGACCCCAAGTGTACAGGGTGAGTTTGTTCTGAAACTCTCAGAGCACGACGTGCAGAAGACTCTGAGTAGGGTGAAAATCCGTAAGGCTACAGGGCCTAATGGGATACCACCCCGCGTCCTTAGGACATGTGCAGCCCAGCTGACCACAGTGTTTATGGTCACCTCTAACTCCTCCCTGTCACAGTCCATTGTCTCTACCTGCTTAAAAAAAACACGATTGTTCCACTCCCAAAAAAGGCAAAAGTGGCGTGCCTGAACAATTACTGCCCAGTTGCATTAACATCTGTGGTGATGAAATGCCTGGAGAAGCTGGTGTTGTCACACATCAACTCCTCCATCACAGAGTCCCTGGACCCCTTGCAGTTCACCTACCAGAACAACAGATCAGTTGATGATGCTGTCTCCTTGGCTCTACATACAGCCTTGGAACACCTGGACACTAAGAACTCATTTGTGAGAGTGCTGTTTGTGGACTACAGTTCAGCATTCAATTCCATCATACCCAGTGTACTGGTGACAAAGCTCAGGGGATTAGGTCTGTGGAACTCTGTCTGCAACTGGCTGCTGGACTTTCTAATTGAGAGACCACAGGTGATGCGGATAGGTAATATAACATCAAAACCACTCACCCTGAGAACTGGAACCCCACAAGGCTGCTGTCTGAGTCCAAGGTTGTACTCCCTTTTCACTTACGACTGCACAGCAAGACACAGCAACAACTGCATCATTAAGTTTGCAGATGACACCACAATAATAGGCCTGATCAGTGATGATGATGAGTCCACTTACAGGGATGAAGTCATACAGCTGCTTAGGTGGTGTCATAGCAATAACCTGGACTTGAACGCAAATAAAATGAAAGAGCTTATAGTGGACTTTCGGAGACACAGGCCACTCACTCACAGCCCACTCGGTATTGATGGAACGGAAGTGGAAACAGTCACCAGCTTTAGGTTTTTGGGAATTCACATTTCTAATGATCTAACCTGGACTGTGTACATGGACTCTATCTTGAAAAAGGCTCACCAGCGCCTTTATTTCTTGAGGTCTCTCAAACGATGGGGGGTGCCAGTACCTGTGTTGCTGAACTTCTATTGCTGCACCATTGAGAGAATCCTCACCAACGGGATCACCGTGTGGTATAGCAATACCTCTTCTCAAGAAAGAAAGGCACTGCAGAGAATGGTGAATGTGGCCCAGAAGATCATCGGCTGTGGTCTCACCGAGATTAAACAGCTCTATGTGGACCGCTGCCATGGTAGAATTCTGGCCATCACAGAGGACAGTCATCACCCCGGGCATGAGTTCTTCACCCCACTGCCCTCGGGCAAATGGTACAGAAGCATACGGACACTTACCACTAGATTCTTCAATGGCTTCTATCCACAAGCAGTGCTTTTGGCAAACACATTTAGCCATGCCCCTCGGACCACACCTATACCATCTACCTCATTATGATTTCTTATTAATTGTACATCTCCAGTCATTGTTAACATG